TGCCTCTTGAAAAAGCACCTTTGGGACCCTCTCCATCATGTTTGGTGCTATTTCAAAAGTTAAAATCTCTTTAAAAGCTACACATGGAACTTGTTACCAGCGTACCTCAAAAGCAAAAAAAAAAAAAAATGCCACCAGGATAAGTTTCCATCATACTCTCGATTTTGAGAGTACATGGGTCAGGAAGCCCGAGTCACAATGGTGTTGTGCGCTGCACACCAAACACACATGTTCAACTCAGCACTTTCTTTATATGTGGAACTGCACTTGGGGCGCCATACACACATGTGCAAAGAAACTAGTTGATTGGAATCAATTCATAGCTGCATTCCTATCACATACTATTCAGCATTCAATAGCTTTTCCGAGAAATGTGAACTGCCTCCATCTGAAATTCTTCCCCTTGTTTCAATTCCAGTTGAAATAAACATGCATTCAAAAAATCATCAACTGAAGTGCATGTCGATGAGGATTCTGACTCTGATTTTCAGAAAAATGCAGCTAGATTACCAGTCTCCTCGCAGTTTCTGATAATCACACAGTTTGTGGCTTTGATTTTCTATACTATTCTTTTCCACTCTCAAAGCTAGCTGCTTGATTTATTTTGATTTATATGTCTTTGACAACAATATCTTGTTTCACCATCCCAGGATAGAGCGCAAGTAACATGGTTTCCTGCTGTTGACAATGAATTCCGTTCCAACAGATAAGCAATAAATAACCCAACTGAAAATTAAATATAGGGCCAAATTGCACTTTGTGCAGATTTCCCCAATTCTATATAGAATTAATTCAAAGTATCAACCACCCCAGCATACATTTCTCCTTTTCCTAACTGCTTGTTTGATGAACCAACTTGTAAACATAAACAGAACTGTCCTAGATATCCCACAATTTTCATGGGGATTAGTCCTAATATATTTAATTAGAACTGCAGGCTCAGTTTTAAAATATTTCCAAATTGCCTCTCTGTTTAAAAAAGAATATTTAAAGCAGTGTTATGATTATTTCAGAATAACTGTAGGGACATTTTCAAGATAATATTCTCAGTTCCCTGCAAAATTTCTCAAGTAGTCTTCTGGGCACTCTAACAAAGGGACCGTAACATTTCCTGGATTTATGAGTATCTGTCAAATCACATGCTGTTCATAAATGTTGTAATTAGACTGCTGATATTGTTATAACAACACTTCATTAAAATAAATCTGAATTCTAACAAAACTAAGATTAACTTCACCACTTGCAAAATTCTTCCACAGACTTTTTTTAAAAAAAGTTAAAATCTGACAGTAGTTATTTTTATGCAAAACTTCCTTCAATGAAGAATGAACTATTCAAACTCATTGTGAATTTTAGTGTTTCTTCATTATTCCTTCAAGCACATGCTAGTGTCCTGCTTTTAGCATTTTGTGTTGCCTCCTGCTACCTCCAGGTATCAATGAACTACAACACCCTGGCTGATAGTGACAGATGCTAAGAACCATACTTCAGCAACATCTGGAGATCTACAGATTCCTAACCCATTACAAACAGATACGCAACCTGGAATGTAGGTAATTCCAGCACCTCTCATGAACCTTTCAAAACACCCATTCAGACATGGCATTAATTCTAAATGTAAGATGGTAGCTCTCATGTAATTTATGCAAATATGGAGAGCCATTTTCCCACACCAATATGGTAGCATTTAGGTAAGGAATTACATGGGTATAAAGCACGGTTCCTTTACGTGCAAATATACTGGTTGGCTCCCTGCACATAGAGAGCTACAACTGATAGCAAGTGGCTCTACTTATGTGGTTCTTGGGAAAAACATTATCCAAATAACACAGGGAGTTGTCTCACTTTGACGACTTGCTCCATGTAACACATTATGGAAAGACTTTGGTGCAAGGCTTCATATTAATCCAGCATATACCTGAACAGAAGACCTGAACAAGTGCTGGCTCTCTTCCAATAATCCCTTTCTTCATCTTACCAGCCTTGCTATATTGAATCAGAAGTTCTAAATTGAAACTTCTTGTATTTGTCTGAATGAGCATCTCCCTGCAGGAGTTAGCAAATTCTGTGTATTGCAACCCCACCTTAAAATAATAAATGAATATGCATGGCAGTCTCCATGTATAGAACTAATGATTTCATTCAGGTTCTGGCTGGGCAAGAAATAAGTATATTGTTTAATTTTAGCACTAGCATTTAGACTTATGTACTGCTTCACAGTGCTTTACAGCCCTGACTAAGCTGTGTACAGAGTCAACATACCCCAACAATCTGGGTCCTCATTTTACCGACTTCAGAAGGATGGAAGGCTGAGTCAACCTTCAGCCAGTCAAGATCAAAATCCTGGCAGTGGGCAGTTTGCCTGCAATACTGCATTCTAACCACTGTAGCACACCACGGTTCTTTCTAACAATTGCATTTGAATCTACACATTATAAGCTGTTTTCAAACATTGTGATACTGCAGCTGCTCACTGCAGGTGTATGCAGGAAAAAAAGGAGAAATACTAAGAGTGAGTTTTGACAACACTCAACACTGTGAGTCAAAACTCTTATCTTGAATGAAGTAAGGGTGAGATGGATCTTGGCAGACTTGAACACTGGGCCCTATCTAACAAAATGAAATTCAATGTAGGGAAAAGTAAAGTCCTACACTTAGGCAAGAAAAAACAAAAGTACACATATAGACTGGGTGAAACCAGGCTTAATAGCAGTAACTGAGAGGGATCTTGGAGTCTTAGTGGACAACCAGTTAAATATGAGCCAGCTGTGTGTGGCAGCAGCCAAAAAAGCCAATAAAATCCTAAATTGCATTAACAGAGGGATACAATCAAGATCAAGTGCGGTACTAAAACCATTCTCTAAAGCCTTAGTAAGTCCACACCTAGAATACTACATCCAGTTTTGGTCACCACATTATAAAAAAGATGTTGAGACTCTAGAAAAAGTGCAGAGAATAGCAACCAGGATGATTAGGGGACTGGAGACTAAAACATACGATGAACAGTTGCAGGAACTGGGCACGGCTAGTCTAGTGAAGAGAAGGACCAGGGGAGACATGATACCAGTGTTCCAATATTTGTGGGGCTGCCAAAGAGAGGAAGGGGTTGAACTATTTTCCAAGGCACCTGAAGGCCAGACAAAGAATATGGATGGAAACTGATCAAGGAGAGAATCAATCTAGAAATAAGGAGACATTTTCTAACAGTGAGAACAATCAACCAATAGAACAGCTTGCCTTTGGAAGTTGTGGGAGCTTCATCATTGGGAGGCTTTCAAGGGGAGATTGGACTGCCATTTGCCGGGGATGGTATAGGGTCTCCTGCTTGGGCAGGGGGTTGGACTAGATGACCTACAAGGTCCCTTCCAACTCTGTTAATCTATCTGTCTACCCTGGAAAAGCAAGGAGCCTGTCCAATCTTCCATTCCCTGCACCAAATCAAGCCTCTATCCAGTACCTCACATATGTTCACAACCTGGATGGAAAAGGCTCCATGTTACACAAATATGGAACTCCTCACCAATGGTGCAAAAAGAAAAATCAAAGGACCTCTTACTTTACCTGGCCTGGCTGTATTTTGCATGCAGTTTTGGGAAACCATAGTCGGGTGGACCGATGTGGATGCTCTGTGGCTGAGGTCCATGACCGATGGTGAGGCTGAGGTAGGTTGCTGAAGAGCTGGCTGATGAGGGCTGTGGTCGTGCTGGACTGGACTGGGTGGGATGCCATTCTCTGAGAGAAATTCTTCCAGGTCCATGTATTCCAACTGGAAAGTGTCACCATCATAGGGAAGTGTCTTGTCCCATAATGTAGGCCCCAGAAAAGCAGACTGTGGGACAGTGGCACTGGTACTGTCGTCATCCAGTTTTTTGTCTTTGTCTTTTTCTTTATAAAATGCTATAAAGGGAAGGGGAAGGCAAGGAAATGTGAGGATTTTTTTAGCTAGTTTCTTGCTAGGAAGAAAATAAAGAGAATCCTTTTGTACTTATTCTCTGTTTTGGGGTTCTATATTTGGAACACAATTAAAGTCTCTGGATACATTTTTCAGCTCATTAAGGCCATGTATGTTTTCCATCTCTGCTTTTAACTTGCAATTCATCTGCATTCTTGGCTTCAAGAAAATTGCAAGCTTCAAACAACACCACTCCAAGTTTTCATCAGAATGAAGAACTGAAAAAATTGCTCAAATGGGTATAATGGAATATGGGATTTGCCTGATCAAATCCTACATAAGTGAAATTACTCATAATGGTAGGATTTATATACCTGTGCTAAGCCATGGTTTATTAAACATGGTTTCATTTAAGCCACCACTAACTGGTATTAGACAACACAGTCAGCCAGAGATTAGTAACCACAGTGCCTGTGTTTGTATACATTACACAGAATCCAAATAATAAAAGCAAGATTATGGTTTCTGCAATGCATGTAGTTCCTTCAAATAGGTTTAAGAAGAACAGAATACACATTGTGTTTGTAATGTATTGCTAACTTGCTTCAAATCCATTTTGAAGGGCAACATATCACATTTTAAATATAAATAACCTGAAGATCACCACAGCTTATTTATTTAAATGTTTTTATAATTCCCAATTACCTAGGTGAACATTCATGCTAGTTAGGAATTCTGGAAATGCTATCTTAGTAAAATAGCCTAATTTAGTCCAATCTTCATCATTTGCTGCTTAGAAACTAGAAATTCATAATGAGAAGCTATAAAACAAGCCAAACATTACCCAGGGGAGTCACAACTGCATTTCACAAGTTTGGTTAAAAATAAACTTGCAGCAGCAACAGAGGCTGGAACTATTAAGCCTCTTTTTAGCTTCTTCCTACAATCATTTCCAGATTTGTATCTCCACTTTCTTCTACTCCTATGCCTGGGATTGTTTTGAAATGCACACTGGTTTTGAAGCTAAGAACCAGAACTTTTTGTACACTGTGTAGGAAATTGCAAAATTAATTGTAATCCCCCCTACCTCGTTGGTGGACTTTTCTTACAACAAAGTAGCAATAAAATGGTAATTACAGATCTTTGTGTAATTTGTAGTTTGTTCCTTCGCATCCACTGGATTTAGACTTATGCTGACAAATAATTATTGGCAGCCACTTCCTAAATTTGTAAGTAACCCTTAATGCATTTCTCAGCACCTGATCATCCTCTTCAAATGTATTTTATTTGAACATTTACCATTCCTAAATCTGATTTTTCAGCACTGGAAATATTTCAAGTTGTTATCATGATCTAAAAGAACTACTCCAAAAAATTTCTGTTCAGAATGACATATTACATCAACATAATTAATCTAGATATCCTATTCATGTGCTTGCATTTTTTAATGGAAAAATACGTATATGTATTGGTTCATAGTCAACAGGAATGAGATGAGTCTAAACTACACTGCACAAGCATTAAAGTATAGGTGATAGAGAATATTACCTCAAAAATCATAGAAAATTGTTGAATGCTATACAATGCTTGGCTATTACTGACTTTTAAGTGCATTGGAGTTTAAAGGTTAGGGAACGTCAACTTTGTTAGAAATAATTCAAGGTTTCAATTTTATTCTTCTGAAACCTTCATCAGAGGTTGAATTAGGGGTAAAATACATGTTGCAAGTTTTGATTTCAAGAATACAGCAAAATTTTTGATTCAGGTATGAAATAAGTCAGTCCAGATTTAAAAAAAAAATACTAGTATAGGCTTTAAGTAGTCTATGTGTATTGGGAGGAGCTGTGTGTACACATTTATGGATAAATGTATGCCCGTGTAATGCAGAGAAAAGCAGTATGGGGAGGCCTGTAATTCAAGGCACACACTTTCTTCAAAATCACTTCCACAGAAATAAAATGCCCCGACTTTTAAATCAAAACAAGGGCAAATAGTTGCTAGGGTGTGTAATACTGCAAAATCCCAATTTACCTGAGAGACACCCCACTAAAAAGGGGGAATTTCCTTCACAGAAGTGCACCATACAAACGCTCTGATTCTAATTCCCTCTTTTATGACTTCTTCACAAATTGTGGTATCGGAAGGCACCTTGCCCAAAAGATCAGCTCCAATTTACCACAGAACCTGCCAACCAAAAATAAACTATCCAGTACATTAAAAAGTACCGTCACTTTTCAGGTTCCGCTATAAACACACCGCACGCGCTAATTTTTGGAGCAAAGTGTAGCAAAGTAGGCAGTCGTTTTTCTTAGGCATACTTACTTGAGGGTAAGCCCCGAGTATTGAGTTGGACTTATCTCCGACTAACATACAGAGAGGCAAAAAGAGGCAGGATTAGACGGAATCGTTTGTTACCTCTCGGGGTAATCCTAGGGGTGTTTACCTGGAAATCAATCCCGCTTGATTCAGCAGAACCGATTCCCAAGGATCTTCAAGACTGCAGCTGCAGCCTCCGGCGAGCCGAAACACAAAAATGCGCCCTTCAGATTTGCGCGGAATTCTCCGCCTCGACGCGCAAAGCGCCCGATTCCCACAAGCAACGCTTAAGGCTAGACGCGCGCCTCTGGTTCGCACGGCTCGATCGCCGCTTTCAGTGAAACTTGTGCGCACGGCTTGTAAGCCTTGTCATGTGCGAATAGGCAGCAATGTAGAATAGCAGAGTTGGAAAGGACCTTAGAGGTCTTCTAGTCCAACCCCCTGCTCAGGCAGGAAACCTTACACCACCTTACAACAACTCACAGGACCATAAAGCGGGGCGTAGGGGTGGGGGCAAGAGGGAAACCCACCGCTACACTCCTCCTTCCCGTTACACACACACACACACACACACACACACACACACACGTCTCACCATCTTCGTGATGCAGTGGCAGCTTGAGCGGGTTTTCCAGCAGGGATTTCAGCACCCCGTAAGTTGGGGGTAGGAAAGCTGGGTTCAAAGGAAGAGGTCGAGCCATCCCTCGTTCGCCCCTCTTTCACTCCGCCAATTTGGTTTAAACTAGCAAAGAAGAAGAAGAAGAAGAAGAAGAAATAGAGAGGATGGAAAGAAAAGAAGAAATCCCAAATCGATCTTCCGTTCGGAAAAGGCTTCAGACGACCTCGCTCCAAGCGAATCTGGGCGTCCCTGGATCCCTTTTTTGCATCAATATTAGCAAAGTAGACCGAGGAGTTTTTGGTTTTTTTTTNTGGGGGCGATATGCTGACTCTGTAAACCGCTTAGAGAGGGCTGAAAGCCCTATGAAGCGGTATATAAGTCTAACTGCTATTGCTATTGCTATTGCAGAAGCCAAAAACATGATGGCAGCGCCTATGGTGCTGGCGAGAGAACTGGTTTGGGGACATGGCAGGCCAAGTTACTATTCAGTTGAACTGGTAGGAACCCACCCCTGGTTAGCTCCCTCTGCTTTGATGCAACCCATGTAGATAGTCCAAGGACCAGGAAACATACAGCAGCATTATATGCATTATTTGCAATCATTGCACAATGTCAGTGCTTCAGAAACAACCAATATCAAGCTGGGTTATATGGAAAATGGCATACAGAGGAGGAGGCATAAGGGTGGGTAAGAGAAATCAAAATAACTGAACTGTACCATAAAGGGGACTGTTTAGGCTACCCAGTTATAACAATTCAGAAGAAGGATGTGCACATCCAAGACATTTTCAAGATCAGAGGCAGCTTACATCTCTTTTCCTCCCTCACAGCACAATAAGGAAAAGGGAACTGACGTAGAATGTTAGCACCCACCCCTCTCCTAGAAGAATGAAATATTTTGAGAAATATTTTAAAAAAGCAGGATAAAATATTTCCCCTATCAAGAGAAATAAAAATCTTAAGGGAGACAGAAACTCAAGAGCCTCAGCTCCCTGCCCCCAAGCAGATACTAAGATGAGGCCAACTTTTAGAAATGCTGATTTGCTAATCCATTACTGCCTGCAGCAAGGTCTGGTTCTGAACAAAAGTAGGGTTAGCCTTCTGCCACAATAGGAATTCCCATCAGCCAAACTTCAACCAAACTTAAGCTCAGACAAACTCCTAGGATTTGTACATGGTCCTATGTGAGTCTGACAACAGCCAATAGAATACATGTTCTTGCACAGGAACAGGAAGCTCAAGTTCAAAGCCCAAGAGAAGGTATAAATACCCCTCACTCTCATCTCCATGTGTTCCATTGCCCAGAACCACAAACATGTGCTCCTGCTTCAGCAATAAATGGACACTCTTTCCAATCAGCCTCCAGCCTCCATTTTGACTCCAGTACCTTTCTCCCAGCTTGGAACAGGACCTGGATTTTTCCTTCCAACATTGATTTCTGAATTCTTTTTTCTTTATTTGCCCCCCACCCCTCACCCAGAAGACAATTTGTCCCTTAAACCCTAAAGGGAATCATAACACCAGACATTGGTAACTGGGATGTTTCTCACGCTGGGAATGTTGTCCTAAGCCCAAACCAAGATATTGACAATTGAGGCTGAAGCAGAACTAATCTTTGTTCAGTCCACTCAAACGCTTAACAATTCATAATTAGAAGCTATTTATAAAATTATTTTCTACTGTCCTATTCTACAGATTAAACCAAGGGGGTGGCTTTTGTCCTAAAATATATCTTTCTGAAATACCGTATTCTTCAGAGTATAAGGCGCACCAAGGTTTTGAAGAGGCTAAAGTTTAAAAAAATAAGTTTTTGCACTCTGCAGACCTCCCCAAAAACGGCCCATTTTTCGCAAAAACAGGCCCATTTTTCCCCCGCCAAAAAAGGGCATGGACAGTCTTTAGGAAGCTTATAGAGTACTCCTGGGGACTGGGGGGGGGGGCAAAATTGAACAAAAAAACCAGCCTGTTTTTCGCTCATTTCTGCCCTCCCAAGCCTCAGGAGCACTCTGCAAGGCTCCTAAAGGCTATGCACGACCATTTTGGTGAAGGGCTCTGGTTTCATGAGGCAAAAAATGCTGTAGTCAGTATATGAGATGCACCCAGATTTTCAACCTCTTTTTTGAGGGAAAAAGGTGTGTCTTATACTCCAAAAAATAGAGTAATTCATTATGTCATTTATCTAATAGGCAAAATTGCCAATTTGTACCTATGACTCAGCTTTGTTTCCCACTGATGGGAAGAATTTTGAAATTTGCCAGAACTTTTGGATAATGTCTTACCCATACCAGGGAAACTGCAAAATATGGGTAATGTTCCTAGCTGCCTCCTTGACCTCCACCCACGACCCTATGAGGAGTAAGCATTTGATCAGAGGCATTGGGATGAGCCTGCTGTATGTAGCTCTGTTGTACTTTTATTTCAGAAACAGGAAATGCATGTGTCTGCCAATTCCTCCTTTGATGCCGGTCAAATTTCCTGCTCATCTAACTTAATTTTGTTATAAAAACATCATTTTAATTTTTTTTTAAATAGAATGTTGGCCTTTTGCAGAGCAAGGGGGTGGGTAGTCATGAGACAGACACAATTTGGAGTAACAGTAGAAATTCTGATCTAGAAATGGCCACCATTTTGCCTGAAATAATAAATCTGAACATGGCTGAAGTGACAATAAAAATTGAAAAATTGTTCAGAGGAACTTTGGAATGGAATAAGATTTGGCCTGTGGCTGTTTCAGCCATTAAATATGGAAGAAACTGCAATGAAGAAAGATCTTATTTCTAAAATAGAGAGAGCACACAAAAACCTGAATACATAGGTAAACAACTTAACCATTTCTAGTCTGCTATTACTTTCTTATGCTGTTCTATTTTATTTTTTGGAGAATTTGGGGATAACCTCACATGATTTCATGGAGTGTTAGAGTAGCTAGCATGGGAAAATGAGAATTCTAGAGTAAAATATCACAGTACAAAGCATATCCTCTTGAATAAAATCTACTGTACAATTTGCCACGAGCACTGTCATATTGGTAACAATTTGGTAGAAATTGTTGGCTTCTCTTGTGTTACTCCACATGGTATGAACTAAAGAAAGAAAAGTCATATAAAATTCTGCTAACTTCACTAGCCGGGCACCATTGGTGGGTTGCAGGCAGTATGCCCCGGTACGGGTATACTGGAGCCTGCCTGGAGCACTGGGTACTGTTCCGGTACGGTGCTCCGGAGGGCCCACCTGCCTGCCCAAGCTCCTTACCTGTCCTTTAAACCTTTGGCACTTCTGTGCACATGCACGATGCGTATGGCGCCTGTGTGCCATTCCGTCAAGCAGCTGGAGCGTCACAAGCAAGTATGATGCATGCGTGTGCTGTGCACATGTGTGCGTGCACTGCACGCATCCATGTGGGTGATGCCGAGGCCGTTCCAACGTACCGGTTGGAATGGAATCCATAACCCACCATTGCTGGGCACCCTCATAAGTTGCCTAGACCAGGGATCTCCAATTTTGGCAACTTTAAAACTTGTGGACTTCAACTCCCAGAATTCCTCTGGCTGCCAAGATTGGAGACCCCTGGCCTAGACTCATTCCATCATTTCTTGCTAGCCCTGGCCAGGAACATGCTGGCTTAAAAATGATGAAATTTATAGTCCATATATACAGAAAGGATAATGCAGGTACCTGTTTGAGAAGGCTAAGATAATATTGCAAGTTTGTTTTATTTACAGTTATCCCATCTTTATTAGTTTGATAAATAACTCAAGGCAGTCAACACACATAATAGTCCTTCTATTTTCACCACAACAACTACCCTGTGAATGAGTTGGGCTAAGAAAGTGGGACTGGCCCAAAGTCACTCAGCCAGTTTTCATGCTTAAGAAGAATTCTTAGAATTCACATCCTCCTGGCTTCTAGCCTGATGTCTTAATCACTCCTGATGTCTTAATTACTAGACCAAACTGGCTTTGATCCAGCCAGCTCAACTATCCTCAGTCTCTGACATCAATTGTTGGGATTCTCCGATCCAAAGTTTTCCTCTCAATCTGATGCTTTATTTCAGAAGGGACCAGGACTAAACCTGATATTTTCTGCACCTGAGCTACACCTAATACCTGTCTTTGATACATCATGTTGACACTTCTTTTGAGTTCCAGGAAACAGCACAGCACATTTCATATCTCTATCTCCAAGGAATACTTTCTTTACTGATCTCTTTTAGAAGGAATCCCTCAATGGCTGCCAAAACCCATTGCACAGACGCTGGGTGTGTACAAGTTACATGTATGACAGCCAGGCCCCGCTTGGACCTCAATGGGCATATACCCAAGAACACACTGAATATTTTTATCCTGACTATAGTGTGCATTTCATTGTTGCTGTGGGTTCCATAGTAACGAAGTAGCTTTCCAATAGATTTCTACAAACCTTGGCACTTAATGACCAACAATTGCAGAAAAAAAAGATCGGATTCTTTTCACTAAGTTTGTCAATTTTCAGATGCCAGCATAACATCTCCCCATCATTTTTTTTAAAGGAGAAACATCCTCAATTCTAACACAAAGCTACAAGAATCACCAATGGCCCTGTGTTTTCTAGCCCTCAAGTACATCATCTGGCATTTTTATTTTCAGTTCTGTCCAACATTCATGCTACCTGTGTTTCATAACATTTGGCAAGTTTTCTAGGAAGATTTTCGGCATCCAGGAATGTGCCTGCTCTGGGAAACTTCTATTTATTTTTATTTCGTCTTCCAGTGTGGAGACCTGGTGTTATAGAGATGCCAAGACTGAGCTTCAGGAAAACAAGCTATGTTCACTCTGACAACGTAAGTTGGCTTCATACTCCAATTTTTAGCAAGCTTTCAACATAATGACTGACGACAGACAGAGGTAGGATTTCATTGTGTATATTGGCCTCTCCCAGCCTACCGTTTCTCTTCCAGAGATATGAAGGCTCCCATATCCTCCAAAAAAGAGGGGAAAGATTCATTTCCCCCCACCTCAATTTTTTAATTAACATTCCATTTCATCACTGTTGTTAAATTGTTCACATCTTTCCATGAATGTTTCTGTTTCTTTTCCCCAAATTCTTGTTTTGCTTTGTTTTTCCCATCACTTTCTGCATCAATTATTTTAGGGTAAGGTCTCCAGAACACTACCTGCAGATGGGACCAAACCACCAAAAGATACTCACTGGGAATTCTGCAAGATGCAATCACAACACTTTTGAAGGAATGCCAAATTGGGAAAATTAAGAGATGGAAAAACACAGAATCCCCTCAAATGATACGGGACAATACATACTTACTAC